AACGCCAAAACTGAATGCCAAAGTCAATGTGGTAAAGAAAGCCAAGGACAACGGCCAAGAGAACGGGGCAAAAACAGGAGGACAAGAGAATGCCCAGACAATGGCAACAGGTAAGAGAACATGAAAGGAAATGCCAAAACAGGAGGGTGAGAGAACATGGCACAGAACGCCAAAACTGAAAGCTGAAGCAAATGCAGCAAAGAAAGCCAAGGGCAATGGCCAAATGAACGTGGCATGGAACACAAAAACAGGAGGACAAGAGAAGGCAGTAGGGAACACAAATGGCAAAGGGAAGGAAAACACTGCAGTGGAAGGCCAGAGACAAGGAGAACACAGAAAGAAAGGGACAGGCAGCCTTCTGGGCACCGTGAAGTGCAATTAAGAGCTCTGGGAGCACCATGTTTTGCCATGCTATGGAATGGGTAAACACGAGTGGGTGTGCATTGCCCTTACCTGCTGGGCAGACAATTACCAGTCAGCAAAGTGGGGTTCCGTGGCATTCCAGGAAATGCAGATTCTGGTTTCTTGCTGTTCCCATGAAGAGCCACGCATCTCCGCGCAGTCATTATGGAGCTCGGGAGCACCGCAACTCTCTGCTGCCATCTGTTGGACACAGCACAGTAATGAAGGCACTGCCCCACACATGCGGGGCAAAACCATGTGCTCATTGCACTAATGATGATGCAAAGGAGCATTAGGTATATAATTGATGCTATTTATTGGTTTGAGGTTACAGTGAGATTAACAATTGTTTTCTGTCCAAGTAACCCTAATCTTAATTGCAGTGCAGAAAACAAGGGGTGTTACATTTATTGCTGTATTTAAGGTTAGAGACATCTTTAATATCAGGATAAGGGTTAGGTTTACAGATATATCGCAGGTTAGTATAATTACCATTACAGCTCCCATTAAGCTAGGGGTTCAGGTCAGCATTACGGTTAACGCTGCCTCCCAGCTAACCCCAGAGAGCCAAAGGCAAGCAAAACACCCACAGAAAGCCACAGCAAAGGCCAAAGCAAAGCAAATAGCTAAGGGAAGGGCAAAAGCAAGGAGAACACCCAATGAAAAGCCACGGTGAGGTCATGGCCACAGAGATTGTGGCACGGACGGCCAACGGACAAGGCCGCAGAGATTGCAGCATGGATGGCCAGAACAGGAAGGCAAGAGAAAACAGCAGGGAAAGCCAAGGGAAGGAGAACACCACAGTGAAAGGCTAAAGGCAAGAAGAATGCAGGAAGAATAGGACAGGAAGCCTTCACAGGGTACCCTAACGATCAACAAAGAGCCCTGGGAACCCTACCGTATGTCTTACTAAGTAAAGGGTAAACACTGGTAGATATAAGTTGCCCTTACCTGTTGTGCAGACAATTACCGGTCAGCAAAGTGGGCTTCCTTCTGGGGCATTCCAGGAAAAAAAAAAGGGGCAAGGAGAATGCAGCAGAGAACGCCAAAAGAGAGGTGCAGTGGAATTCCAGTGGAACCCTGAAACAGTATCTGAGCACTAATACCTGGAACAGAGGGAGCCTGCATCAACCCGCTCCTCTTACCCCAACTTTGTGGTGCTTCCATGAGTATATGTGCAGTCTGAGCCTGTGTATGGGTTTTCCTCCCCCTTGCCTCCTTCTCCCGGTGCAGAGTTCAAACTGAAGAGGGCTGTGCTCCTTAGCTCACCCTTTTTTTTCCCCCAGGCAGTTCCTGGAAGGGTTGAGTTGGTTCCTCTTTGCTTGACATCTTCTTCTGTGGTGCCTGTCTCAAATGAAGGTTCTGTTTTTGTTTGCTTCACAGGAGGCCAAAGGGCAAGGCCAAAATCCAAGGGAAAGTGAAGGCAAAGGGTAAGGACGATGCTGCAGGGAAGACCCAAGTTAAGAGGCAAAGAGAATATGGCAGGGAAAGCCAAAGCAAAGGAGTACACTGCTGAGAAAGGCCAGAGACAAGGAGAATGTGGGAAGAAAAGGACAGGCAGCCTTCGGGGTACCCTAAGATGCAATAAAGAGCTCTGGGAGTCCTATGTTGTGCCACGCTATGTAATGGGTAAGCAATAGTGGATGTACACCGCCCTTACCTGCTGGGCAGACAATTACCAGTCAGCAGAGTGGTATTCCGGGGCATTCCAGGAAATTCAGTTTCCCATTTCTAGCTGCTCTCATGAAGTGCCACACATCTCTCCATGCAGTCATTACAGCATCTGAGAACTGCCAGCTCTCTGCTGCCACCTGCTGGACACAATACAGCAATGAAGGCACTGCCCCACATATGTAGGGTAATGCCTCTTTCACAACGTGGCTGCACTCTGTGCACACTGCTGCTTACCAGTAGCACTGTAGCTGAGAACAATGCAAAAGGAGAAGGTTCAGGTACCCAACAACATTTTTGCTTCCATCTTCTCCGATAACTCTCATTATACACAGCCCTCACCTTTAGCTTTGTAGGTGGGGATTGAGGAAGCAATGCCACCCCCACCAACCACCTCCCTGCCCCACACTGGGAGTCAAGATCAGGTTCTGGACCACCTGAGGAACCTGAACATCCAGGAGTCTATGGGTCCCAATGAGATACATCCCGGAGTCACGAGGGAATTCACTGATGCAGTCACCAAGACATTCTCAATGGTATTTGAGAAGTCACGGCAGTCAGGTGAAGTCCCCAGTGAGCAGAAAAAAAGGCAACAGTACACCTGTTATTATGGATAGAAAGGATGACCCTGAGAACTATAGACACTTCAGTCTTACCTCAGTGCTGGGAATGATCACAGAGCAGATCCTCCTGGAAGTGACTCTGAAGCACTTCTGAAGTTCCAGTGCATCACCACCTTCTGTGTCAAAAACTTCCTCCTAATATTTAACCTAAACCTCCCCTGTCTCCATTTAAGACCATTCCCCTTTGTCCCATCACTATTCACCCTTGTAAACAGCCATTCCCCCTCTTATTTATAAGCTTCCTTTAAGTACCAGAAGGCTGCAATGAGGTCTTCCAGGAGCAGTCTCCTCTCCAAGAGAAACAAGCCCAGTTCACTCAACCTTTCTTCACTGGAGAGGTGTTCTAGCCCTCTAATCATCTTAGTGGCCCTCCTCGGGACCTGCTCCAAAAGCTCCACATCCTTCCTGTGCTGGGGGCCCCAGGCCTGGATACAGTACTGCAGGTGAGGCCTCACAAGAGCTAAGTAGGGAAGCACACTCACCTCCCTCTCCCTGCTGGCCACTCCTCTTTTAATGCAGCCCATGATATAGTTGGCCTTCTGGGCTGCAAGCGCACATCGCTGGCTCACGTCCAACTTCTCATCCATCCTGATCCCTGAGTCCTTCTCTGCAGGGCTGCTCTCAAGGGGTTCTTTGCCCAGTTTGTATAAAAATCTGGAATTGCTCCTTCATCAGTGACACCAACAGTGGGGTTGAGTGCACCCTAATGTCACCAAGCTGTAGGGTGCAGTGACACACCAGAAGGATAGGACACCATCCAGAGGGACCTCAGCTGGCTGAGTAGTGGGCACAGCTGAACCTCATGAGATTCAACAAACCCAAGTGCAGAGTCTGCAGCTGGGACGAGGGAACCCCACTACCAAAACATGCTGGGGGAACAAAAAGACTGAACGTAGTCCTGCCCCATAAGATGTGGGGGCACTGGTGGGTGGCAGCTGGATGCGAGCCAGCAATGTATCCTCCCAACCCAGAAAGCCAACTGTATGCTGGGTTCCATCAAAAGATCCGTAGCCAGCAGGTGAAGAAAAATGATCCTGCCCCCTGCTCTATTCTGGTAAGGCCTCACCTGGAGTGCTGTCTCTGGATGTGGATGTCCGCAGTGCAGGACAAACATGGAGCTGTTGGAGCACACCCAGAGAACAGCCACAAATATGAACTGAGGGATAGAACGCCTTTCTTATAAGAAGAGAGAACTGGGGCTGCTCTGCCTGGAGAAGTGAAGGCTCTGAGGTGACCTGGTAACAGCCTTTCAATACCTAAAGGGAAGAACAAGGGAAAATTTAGGTTAGATATAAAGAAAATATATTTTACAGTGAGGGTGGTGACGCAGTGGAACAGGTTGCCCAGACACATGGTGGATGCACTGTCCATTTCAAGGCAAGGCTGGGTCAGGCTCTAACCTGATTCAGCTGTGGACATTCCTGTTCATCGTGGGGTAGTTGGACTAGGTCTTTACAAATGGTACCAAGTACTCCAGCTGGGATAATCCACATCCATCACAGAGCCTCTCTAGGCTACTCCCGGTATTCAGCAGACTAGGGGCCTCACTTTGTCATGCTGTTGGGAGCCAGGGCTGCAGAGCTGCTGAATGAGAGTCAGCAGATGAGAGGAAGAGGGGTAGGGGTTTGGGTGTCTTACAGATTAGGAAACTAATGGCATCTACAGACAATTGGGATGGAGATATCCAGGATGACCCTGACTGCAGTGGTCCAGAAGAGGACAATCCTTGGCTTTCTATAAAGACGAAGCCAGATCTGCTGTTCAAACAGGAGGGACTGTAGGACCCCAAGGTGGTCAGTCACGATGCGCTCTGAGAATGATGCCCTGGGATCCATTACCACTGACAAGTCTGTAAGGGAGATATGGGAGAGAAACAGACAAATTAGGAACCTGTAATCACTATGCTCAAGTGGTGCAGACCATATTGTGCTCAGTGAGGATGAAGCAAACAGCCACTGGGGTTCAGGAGTGTTCTTCAGGTCCTGGCTGATGCACCTCACTCTATCCTCAGCCATGGAGCTCACTGGGATGGGATAACAAACTCCACAGATTGAGGGGAGCCCCTCAATCCCTAAGTGAGCTTCCCACAGTAATCACAAACCTGCCTACATACAAGCAATGCACCAACATAGGGCTCATGACGTTCCATTACTCCACAGATCTCACGCCACTGATTAGAGGAGCCCTGACAATCCTTAAACCCCATCAAGCTGCAAAATGAGATCAGAAGAGACACAGAACATGATTTAATATGTGATAATGATGCACAGAACACCCTTATACAACTCTGCATGGGTGGAATTAATACATGGCACTGTTAACTACAGCCATGAAATGGGCTGGGATGATGTGGCAGTAGACAAACCACATTTAGAGCCCCAGGTTGGAGATTATGAGGTGAGAATCATGAAAGATGGAACAGAGGCTCAACCAGAAGTCAATGGGCTTAAAAAGATTTACAAACATGATCTGCAGAATGCACAACCCCTTTGAGGAAAAGCTCTCAGGATTCCTAGAGCTGTAATGCTCAGTCAGCCAACCAAAATTATCCTGGGGCTGGTTGAAGCACTCCAGAAATAAGGGAGCACTGAAAGAAGGGAATGTACCTCAGTCCCTCCATCAACAGCTCAGAAGAAGGGAGAGAACCCTTTCATCTCCATTAGATAAGAATGGAAGGGCATTGTAGAGACATGCACAGCAAATGCAGCTGCTCTAAACCAGTTCAGAATCCCCCAAAAAAGGGCACTCACAGCCCTGCAACAAAGAAGGAATCACTCGCTCCCTTCCAAGGGCTCACCTCACACTCCAAAGGAAGGAGTCACCAGGTACAGATGCTGCCCTTATAGCTGCTAGCCCTTAAATATGGTCAGGGGACCTAAAAGAAGAGTGAGATTAAAGTCATAAAATAAAAAAGGAATCTTTTTTAACCCCATTCTGAGGACCAATACTCACCTCACACTCCAAAGGAGGCAGTCTCCAAGTAGAGATGCATCCCCTACAGTTTCCAGCCCTTAAATGTGGTTAGGATTCCCCCTAAAAAGGAGAGCTCACAGCCCTACAACAAAAACAGAATCAACTGCCCCATTCCAAATAGAAACATTCATCCCACACCCTAGAGGAAGCAATTTCCAGGTAGAGTTTCCACCCAGCTGCCAACCCTTAAAAAGGGAGATGACAGTCCTGTAATAAAGAAGGAATCACTCACCCTGTTCCAAAGACAAACACCCACCCACCTAGCAAAGGAGGCAGTCTCCAGATACAGATACTGCCCATACAGCTGCCAGCCCTTAAAAGTAGTGAGGGTACTCCAAAAAAAGAAGAGACCACAGCCTTGAAACAAAGAAGAGATCACTCACCCCCACAATCCTAAAGAGGCAGCCTCCAGGAAGAGATACTGCCTCTGGGGCTGCCAGCCCTTAAATACTGTCAGGGAGGGGTGGAGTCAAGCTCAGCCCCATCACAGGTGAATTGCTTCCACCTGTGCTCACAGGGGGGCTACACCCCTCACCAGGTGCTCCATCACTGCTTCAGACTGTGACCTCACAGCAAAAAAAAAAAACAAAAACAAAAACAAAACAAAACAAAACAAAAAAACCCAAGGACTATCAGGCAATGGGGTCTGCCTGTCCAGGAAAGGGAAGTATATCAGTGAATGAGCTATGATACCCCACGTATTTTGATCCCAATCTGTCCTCAAAGACAATTGGTGACATTTCTAACAGATAGGGGAGCACAGATTGCAGCAAGATGTAGAGAGCTGAGATTAGTGGTGTGAATGGAGCAAGTGCTGTTTGCCAAACTGCCGGGGTCAGCTTATGGCTCCCCAGTGAGAAATGTGTGTTACCTGCTGACTTTACAATTAAAGACCATCGTGAAAATATTTCAGGATTTGGTGTCCTCAGTGGATGAACCTGGCACCTGCCTGTATGGCAGCACGTGGCCTTTTGATTCAAGTATCAATCCCAAACCCCAAAGATATAGGGAGGCTGCAGTGTGCATACTTCATGCAGCCCCTGTGCTCCCGGAATCAGAGATCACTGACGTACTGCAGTACCCCATTTCTGCTGCAGCATGACGTGGGATTTCTCAAGTTATCACAGATTTGGAGAAAAGACAAAGCATTTCCAGAATACATTTCCTGTATAACCCGCCTGTCTGTCCAGTTTGGAAACCAGATGGGAGGTGGTGATTAACAATTGATTATCGGTGCCTGAACAGTTATACAGCCCCACTAGGAGCTGCTGTCCCAAACACTGCCGACTTAACAGCTACTTAGCAAACATGTCGGTTTGCTCCTGTGCCCCCTATGTGCACCAGAACTCTTTCATGGCCCCATGATGTGCTCTAGAGGCACTTGGATGTGTCCCAGAGCTATGGAGTGTGCAGTGGGCAGCCCCAGAGACATCATCAAGCCCTCTCCCATCTCCTCAGTGCACTCTGGGGTGTGATGGTGATGTGACACAGGGAGGTGTCAGGTGGTGTGAGGATATGCCGGTATCACTGCAGGTGCCATTCGAGAAGCACAGTAGAGCAGATGAGCAGTGCCATCCTGAGCTGGCAGCCACGCTGCTCCTGGGCAGCCACACGACTAGTGGGACCGTGTGAGGAAGTGGGACCGTGGGATCCCTGTGAGGAAGAAATCGGGAAAGGGTGGCAGGAGACCTGTGTGGATGAGCAAGGAGCTCATGCGCAAACTCAAAGGAAAGAAGAAGGCGTATGAAATGTGGAAAAAGGGTCTGACCACTTGGGAAGAATACAGGAATGTTGTCAGGGCCTGCAGGGATGTAACGAGGAAGGCTAAAGCCCGCCTGGAATTAAATCTGACGAAGGGGACAAAGGATAATAAAAAAGACTTTTTAAAAGTATGTTAACAGTAAAAGGAAGACTAGGGAGAATGTGGCTCCCCTGCTAAGTGACAGGGGTGTTCTGGTAACGGGGGATGCTGAGAAGGCGGAGATACTGAATGGCTTCTTTGCTTCTGTCTTCAGTGAAAAAGCTCCCCCTCGGGAATCTGAGACCCTGGAGGTTAGTGAGAGGATCTGGGGAATGGAAGACTTCCCTTCAGTCAGGGAAGAGGTAGTCCGAGAGCACCTAGGCAACACCAATGTTCACCAATCCATGGGACCCGATGGGATGCATCCACAGGAGCTGAGGGAGCTGGCAGAGGTGATTGCTGAACCGCTTTCTGTCATCTTTGAGAGGTCTTGGAGGACGTGGGAGGTGCCTGAAGACTGGAGGATAGCCAATGTCACTCCGGTCTTCAAAAAGGGCAAGAAGTAAGATCCAGGAAATTATAGGCCAGTCAGCCCCACCTCTGTCCCTGGAAAGGTGATGGAACAGCTGGTGCTGGATGTCATCTCCAGACAACTGCAAGAAAAGGAGGTTATCAGGAGTAGTCAGCATGGGTTCACCAGGGGGAGGTCGTGCTTGACCAACCTGGTAGCCTTCTATGATGTTGTCTCTGGCTGGGTGGATGGGGGGAGAGCAGTGGATGTAGTCTACCTTGATTTCAGCAAGGCTTTTGATACTGTCCCCCACGACATCCTTATAACTAAGCTGAGGAAGTGTGGGATAGATGAGTGGACAGTGAGGTGGGTTGAAAACTGGCTGACTGGCAGAGTGCAGAGGGTCGTTGTTGGCGGTGCAGAGTCTGGTTGGAGACCTGTAACCAGTGGTGTCCCCCAGGGGTCGGTGCTGGGTCCGGTCTTGTTCAACATCTTCATCAATGACCTTGATGAGGGGATAGTGGCCACCCTCAGCAAGTTTGCTGATGATACGAAGTTGGGAGGATTGGCTGACATGCCTGAAGGCCATGCTGCCATTCAGCAAGACCTGGACAGGCTGAAGAGCTGGGCAGAAAAAAACCGGATGAGGTTTAACAAAAGCAAGTGTAGAGTCTTGCATCTGGGGAGGAATAATTGCATGCACCAATACAGGTTGGGGGATGACCTGCTGGAGAGGAGCTCTGCAGAGAGGGACCTGGGTGTCCTGGTGGACGACAGGTTAGCCATGAGCCAGCAGTGTGCCCTCGTGGCCAAGAGGGCCAATGGCATCCCGGGGTGCATTAAAAAGAGTGTGGCCAGCAGGTCGAGAGAGGTGATCCTCCCCCTCTACTCTGCCCTGGTAAGGCCTCATCTGGAGCATTGCGTCCAGTTTTGGGCTCCCCAGTACAAAAGGACAGGGATCTCTTGGAAAGAGTCCAGTGGAGGGCCACAAAGATGGTGAGGGGCCTGGAGCATCTCTACTATGAAGAAAGGCTGAGTGAAGTGGGTCTGTTCAACCTTGAGAAAAGAAGACTGAGGGGACCTGATCCAGGTCTATAAATACCTAAGATGTGGGGGGCAGAATGGCAAGGCTGGACTCTTTTCAGTGGTGAGTGGAGACAGGACAAGGGGAAATGGCCAGAAACTGGAGCATAGGAAGTTCCGCACAAATGTGCGCAAGAACTTCTTTACAGTGAGGGTGACGGAGCACTGGAACAGGCTGCCAGGGGGGTTGTGGAGTCTCCTTCTCTGGAGATGTTCAAGACCTGCCTGGATGCCGACCTGTGTGACCTGGTGTAGGGAACCTGCTTTGGCAGGGGGGTTGGACTCGATGATCTCTGGAGGTCCCTTCCAACCCCTACAATTCTGTGATTCTGTGATTCTGCGATTCTCCATCTTGCCAGTACACTACGCATGCACCATTTCTGGCAGTGCAATACGCATGCGTCTGATCTGTAACATGAGTACGCATGCGCCAGCTCCTGCACCACACCACGCATGCGCCAAGTTGTCACTGCACTACGCATGCGCCAATTTTGTCACTGCACTACGCATGCGCCAGTTTCGGCTCAGCACTACGCATGCGGCGATCTGTATCGTTTCTACGCATGCGCCAGGTTTGGACCTACACTACTCATGCGGCAGTGGAAGGACCCCACTATGCATGCGCCAGTTCAGGATCATCACTACTCATGCGCCAATTTTGTCACTGTACTATGCATGCGCTTGATCATAAAGAGCGCCAGTTTAGGCTCACCACTACGCATGCTCCATTTCAGGCACGTAACTACGCACGCACCAATTGAGATACGCAAGTACGCATGCACGAATTGGGGCAGTGCACTACGCATGTGCCATTAGGGGCACTGTACTACGTATGCGCCGATTGGGGCACCTCGGTAAGCATGCGCCGGATCAGGCACAGCAATACGCATGTGCCAATTCTGGCAGTGCACTACGCACGCGTAACCTTTGGCACATCACTACGCATGCGCCACATCCAGTGCATCACCACGCATGTGCCAGCTCTGTGCCATAACTACGCATGCGTCAATTTCGGCAGAGTACTACGCTTGCGCCAGATCTGGCGCGTGGGTATGCATGCGCTAGTTCCGATGCAGCTCTATGCATGTACTGCTTCTGGTTCATCAGTACGCGCGCACCACATCCAGCAGAGCAATACCCATGCGCTTCATCCGGCAGAATAGTACGCTTGCGTCAGTTCCTGCACAACATTACGCATGCACAATTCCAGCGCTATACTACACATCCGCTTATTCCGGCACTGCATTACGCATGCGCCTGTCCCAGATCAACAATGCGCATGCGCTTGCCTGGATTCCGCGCTGCGCATGCGCTTTTTATGGCATAGCAGTACGCGTGCGTCAGTCTCGGTGAACGCATACGTCTTGGTTTCTGCTACTCCAAATTGTCACGGACACAGTTCTTCACGTTGGCCACGCGGTGGCAGCAGAGACTGCGTAAAGATCTTATTGGGCTCGGCGTCGAGTCGCCTCACCTCCTGTCGCTATCTGTTCTCTTGCTAAGTAAAAGCACTAAGTTACAGTGGGAAGTATAGGAAAAAAACAAAACAAAACAAAACTAAGAAAAGCAAGGAAAACTTCTCCAACCCAGCAAACCTTTCCTAAGTACTTTTGAATATCTGTAAATAAATAAATAATCATCAAATTGATGTCATGCTTTTTTTTTTTTTTCCCTCACAGTGTCTGGGATGATGAACAAAGTTGTTATCAATTGGACAGATGCATGCAGTGAAGCCAAGGATGGTTTGGAATGACAAACAGAGCAATGTAAAACAGCCAAGCAACATTTTGCTATTGAGTGATTTGTCATCAGTTCTTTCATTTGCAACTTTCACCAGCATCTGCCTCAAGACGTTCTGACCACGGGCACCATGGCTGAGGGCTGTGTTCCTCACTCATTCATTTTTCCAGGCTGTTGCTAGTGAGTTGGTCCTCTTTCCTCGATATCTTGTTCTGTGTGTGCGCCTGTGTCTCAAATAAATGTTCTATCATTGCCTTTGTTTGTTTTACAGTGCATTTGTCCACAAAGGCCAGCGCCACAAAGAACTATGATGCCTAAACACTACAGTGCATC